CTATCTATCTATCTATCTATCTATCATCTATCTACCTACCTACCTACACCTGATCTCTCTCTCTCTCTCTCTATCATCTATCTACCTACCTACCTACCTAAACCTGATCTCTCTACCTACCTACCTACCTACCTAATCCTGATCTCTCTCTCTCTCTCTCTTTCTCTCTCTCTATCTATCCATCTATCTACCTATTATCTATCCATCTATCCATCTATCTACCTATCTACCTACCTACCTAATCCTGATCTCTCTCTCTCATCTATCTATCTATCTATCTATCTATCTATCTATCTATCTATCTATCTATCTATCTATCTATCTATCTATCTATCTATCTATCATCTATCTAATCCTGATCTCTATCATCTATCATTTCTTTCTATCTATCCATCTATCTATCTACCTACCTACCTAATCCTGATCTCTCTCTCTCTCTCTCTCTCTCTCTCTCTCTCTCTCTCCGTGCATCTTCCACAGTGCATACATCTATAATTTCATATGTTTCATATTTTGCATCGTATGAAAGAGGGCCAGTAGAGACAGGTGGCCCTTCGCCTCCGAAGCCCCCAAACAGCCATTTTGGCTGCCGGAAGGGAGAGCTGGATGGTGGGGGGCGCGGGGGAGGCGAGGGGAGTTTCTAACAAAAACCGCCCGGATCTTCGCTGTCATCTGGCGCTGCCTTTCTCCCCTCCTGGTCCCGCTCTGGAACAAGGCTTGAGGCCCGGCGGCTGACACATGGGAAGCATTAGGCCCAACACCTGCATCCGCTTAGCCTGTCAGGCCAACTGAGGGAGACGGTTTGGGCTGGTGGTTAAGGCACCCGGCTAGAAAGTGGGTGGCTGGGAGTTCTAGTCCCGCCTTAGGCATCAAAGCTGGCTGGGTGACTTTGGCTCGGCGCCCCCGACTCCTCTCAGCCCAAGCCCGCCTTGCAGGGTTGTTGTTGTGGGGAAACGAGCAGGAGGAGGAGGAGGAAGGAGTGTTGGAGATATTTGCCACCTTGATTTTTTAAAAACAATAAAGAAGGGATATAATAAAATAAAAGAATAAAAATGAAATAATGAAATAATAGAATAATATAAAACAAAGAATAATAAATAATAAATAAATAAAATAAAACAATATAAGTAAAATAAAATATAAAATAAAACAATATAAAATATAAAATGAAAATATGAAGTAAAAATATAAAATGAAAACATGAAGTAAAAATATAAAATGAAAATATGAAGTAAAAAAATAAATTGAAATAAAAAATAAAACAAAATATAAAGTAATAATATATAAATAAAATAAAATATAAACAAATGACATGAAATATAAAGTAAAATAAAACAAAATAAAATATAAAAAAAATATGATACAACATATAAAATAAAATGAAATGATAAAATAATGCCCAGCCTGCACAAGGGGGTAAGAGAGGACACCTAGTTGGTCCCAGAGCAGAAGGGAGGACCTGTCCTCTCAAGGGGTGTCACTGAGCATTGTGGGACCCCTTGAGGTCCACAAGACGAACAGGCCCGTTTCAGGGAGAGGGCTGGTACAAGGGGGATTGGGAAGCGGGGTTGTCAAGGCGGGCGAACCTCTGTTGCTGCCACTTACCGTAAAAAATGTAATTTCCCGGGTGGACTTCGCTGAGCTCGCCCATGGCGGGCACCGGGTGGCTGCAGGACGGGGTGGAGCCGATACTGGACTTCGGACAGGGCACCCCAGCTTCCCGGAGCCTGAGAGAGGGAATCACAAGGGACTCTCCTGTCATACACGTGGTCCCCAACTTACGACCATGCGTTTAGCCACTGTCCAAAGCTGCAGGCTGCCCTTGGAGGGAGGCGCCTGGCTGGGAGACATTTGAGCCAGATTCTTGGATGTGGAGAAAAAGGTTTTGTTTTGACTGTGAGAATGTGGGAGTGCGGGAGAGAAGGGATGCTGGTAATGTCATCTCTCTTTCTCTTTCTCCTTCCTTCCTTTTTCTTTCTGCTGGCTTCCTTTCCACTCCTGCCCGTCTTTCCTTCCTCCTGCTTCTATCTCCTTTCTTTTTCCTCCTCTTTCTTTTTTCCTCCTCTCCCCTTCTATCTTTCCATTTCTAATTGCTTCCTTTTCCTTCCTTCCTTCCGCTTCTTTCCTTTTATCTTTCCCTTCTCAATCTTCCTATCTGCTTCCTTTTCTTCCTTCCTTTTTCCTTCCCTCCCTTCCTCTTTTCTTTCTTTTCTCCTTCCTTCTCTTTCTCCTTCTCATCCTACCTCCTTCCTCCATTCCTTCCTCCTCTCTCCTTCCCCTTTTTCCTTCCTCCTCTTTCCCCCCTTCTGTCATGCCTCCTTCCTTCTGTCTTTCTCTCCTTTCCGCTTATTCTTTCTTCTCCCTCCCTCCCTTTCTCCCTTCCCGGATCATAGGGCTGGACTGGAGGACCTCAAGGCATCCAAACAGGCCACCTTATTCTCTGCTTGTCCTGAAGGGAGGGGGGAAAACGGAGAAAGCCCCTTCCTCACCCTTGTTTTGAAGGGGCTGCTCTCGGATTCATCGACAGGATCTACAAAATCCTTTGGCAAAAATTTCCTCCCCCAACCCAGCACTAAAATCCCGCCCGCCTTTTCTCTATGGGGTGCAAATCCCCCTCCCCAAGTTTTGTCTGAGCCCAGCGGGGGGGGGGGAGGGCCCCCCCTGGAAAGGCGGGGGAGGGGAGGGCAAGCGCCACTAAAGGCCACCTGGACACGGCTGGACCTTTGAAGAGGCAACTTCAAAGGGGCCTCAGCTCACCTGAATTTCTGGGAAGGGCTTGAGGGGGGGGGGGGGATTGAGGGGGGGGGGGGATGGGGGGGGGGGGGGGAGGGAGGGGGGGAGGGAAGGAGGGGCAGATGAAAGATTCTGCAAATAAACATCTTGCACCCTCCTCTCCAGTTCAGTTCAAACATTTAACATTTACACCCTGTAATAAACAAGGATTAGCTTTTACAGCCTTTTAACCGGAATTGGGCATCAGGGAGAGACTTCCACAAAGGATGTTTAGCTGGATAGGCCTGGTTTGGGGGGGTGGGGTGGGGTTATTATGGGGGGAGGGGCGTCAAGAGACATGCCACGCAAGAAGTCCTTGACTTACAACAGTTGGTTTAGTGACCCGTTCAAAGTTGGCCACGGCAGCGAACATTTGATTTAGGACCATTTTTCCAGAGTTACGAACTTTGCAGGGTCCCCACAGTCACGTGGTCAAAGTTCAGAGGTCGCTGTCCCACACGCCCCCCTTTTGCGACCGCCTGGCGAGCGAAGTCAAGCAAAAACCCAGATTCACTTAACAACCGTGCTAATAGCTTAACAACGGTGGCAAGAAAGATCGTTCAGCGGGGCAAACTCATTTAACCAACGTCTCGCTTAGCAACGGAACTTTTGGGCTCCACTGTGGTTACAAGTTGAGGACTAGCTGCATGGCATGGGGAGAAAAAAAGGGTCAAAAATGTTGCAGCCCAAAGACGCACAACACGGATGAGATGAAAACTGAGTTATAATCCTGCAGCGAGTTCCAGTTCTGCCTTAAGCGGGAAATCCGGCTGGGTGACTTTGGGCCAATCACCAGGCGACAGTGAGTTCTAGTCTTGTTTTGGGCACAAAAGCCAGCTGGGTGACTTTTGGACAGTCTCAGTCTCTCTCTCTCTCTCTCTCTCTCTCTCCTTCCCTCCTTCTCTCCCACTTGTTGTTGTGAGGAAAACAGAAAATAGTAGGTTTGTCATCTTGAGTTATTTATACAATAATAATAATAATAACAAGCCAGGGACTCAGAGAAACGAGTAAAGGAATAAACACGTACCGCTCCATGAACTTCAGGGTAAACTCCGTGGTTTTTTGGGCGACCGACTGGATTTCTGACACCCCCTGGCACCCGTACGAGTTGCCACAATGGGCATAGATGCCCGCCAGCTCCGTCGCGCCCTCGGAGATGGCCTTGGCCAGCTGCAAGGCTGACGGGTCCGAGGGTTTCACGCCGGCTGCAAGAAAGCGGAGAAAAAAGGGATTGATTCCCGACCGCGCAGGAAGTCCTCGACTTACGATCACCATTGAGCCCAAAATTTCCGCTGCAAAGCGAGACAGTTGTGAAGTGAGTTTTTCCCCATTTCACGACCTTTCTGGCCGCCATCGTTAAGCAAATCCCTGCAGTTGTAAAGTTAGTCACCCGGTTGTTAAAGTGAATCTTGACTCGACTTCACTTGGCTGAAGGTCACAAGTGGGGGGAATGACACTGCAACCACCGTTATAAATGTGAATCCGTGACCACAGGGATGCTGCAATGGTCGTAAGTGTGAGAAACGGTCATAAGCTGCTTTTTTCCGCTCGGTCCTTAAATGAACTGTTATAAGTCTGAGGTTTGCCCTGCAAGGTTTTCTTCTGCCACCTGGCACCCTCAGGAAAAACACCCCAGGCAGCCCGTCATCCTGGAGGGAAGAGATTGTGGGAATTAAAGCCCAACCTCCTCACGTGCCTGAAGCCTTCGAGAAACCTAAAGATTTGAGTTCGGACAGGCAAAACCTCCACTCTCAGGAGCAGTCTATCTTAGAATTTGTTAAGATGGGAACGCAAGAGAAAATACAGCACCCTATCCTGCAAGGAATCTGGCAAATTCGAACTCGTTACTCTGTTGATCAACCGGGGGAGGGGGATGAGCTTGGGAGGGAAGAGGGGGAGGGAGAGGCATAAGCTTCCTCAATATGGACTTGTTCCTTATTTATGTATTATTTTTTTCTTTGTTTATCCGATATGTGCCGATTCAGGATTTCCTGGCAGGTTTAAAATGGGTGGACTTCAATTCCCAGAATTCCTTTGGAAGTTGGGCCCGGCCTAGACTTTTTGTCCGCAGGTGGTTCATTTAGCGACCATTTGAAGTTGCAACGGCACTGAAAAAAGTGACTTGTGACTGTTTTTCACACTTGCGACTGTGGCAGCCTCCCCATGGTCACGTGATCAAACTTCAGACGCCTGGCAAACTGACTCGTATTTACGACAGTCGGAGTGTGCCAGGAATCCTGTGATTACCATTTGTGACAAGGAAAGTTGAGGCGGGAGCCAGATTTGCTTAACGACCGCATGATTCATTTAACAGCCACAGTGGTTCGCTTAACAGTGTGACCGAAAGGTTTATAAAAGGGGTCAAAACTCACTTAACAACTGCCTTGATTAACAATGGAAATTTTGGACTCCATTTTGGTCATAAGTTGAGGACTGTCTGTATTGCTTTCAATTTTTAGCTGTTCTGTGTCCTTTATTTTCTGCCACAAATTTTTTTCTAGACCCCCAGTTTAAGATTTGGGGGTCACGACTAGCAGAAAGGAGGAAGAGGAAGCTAAGGGGACACAGCTGGTCCTCGACTTACAACTATTCCCTTCATGACCGTTTGAAGTGAAGACCTCACTGAAAAAGGGGATTGATGATTAGTCCTCATACTTATGACCCTTGCAGGGTCCCTGTTGCCATGGGATCAACGTTGGCAACTGGCATGAACTTACGTCGGTTGCAGGGTCCGTGATGTGGGTCACGTGATCGCCTTTTGTGACTTCCCCAGGTGAGCAAAGACAGCAGGAGAAGCCGGATTCGCTTAAAAACCACGTGACTCGCTTAATGGCCATAGTGATTCATTTAATGAATGTGGCGAAAGGAGGTTGTAAAATTGGGCGCAGCTCAATTAGCAAACTGTCTCACTTGGCGACGAAAGTGCTCCCTATCGTGGGCGTAAGTCGAGGACTACCCGCCGGACCCGCGGGAGGGAGGGAGGAAGGGCAGGTACCTCGTCCGTTGTCGCAGTCGATCTTCAGCCAAACTTTCCAGGGCCGACCGGTCTGCAGGGGCCTCCCCTTCAGCTGCCCCAGGGCCTGCGGACTGTCCACCATCACCTGGAAGGCCTCCAGCTTCTCGGCCAGGGAGGCGCAATCCGCCACCTTGTCGAAGGGCAGCGGGTAGGCGTACAGGATGTCATCGAAGCCGCCATCGGCAAAGTGGCGGGCCTCCGCCAGCGTGGAGACTGCGATTCCCCTCAGGGAGCCCCCGGTCATGAGGCGCCCACCTTCCCTGCGAGGGAGGCAAAGGAAGGAGGAGGCTGGGGCGCGGGGGGAGGCTGCGTTGGGTTCCTTGCAGACGTCTCATGACCCAACTAGGGAACATCATCAGGGAAGGAAGAGGGGAAGGAGGGGAGGGGAGGAAAGGAAAGGAGGAAGAGGGAAGAGGAGGGAAGGAAGGAAAGGAAGGAAAGGAAAGGAAGAAAGGAAAATTGTGGGGTTCTGGGTGCTCTCTGAGCTGGGGGCCTTCGTTGCAGATGTCTCATGACCCAACTAGGGAACATCATCAGTGAAGGAAGAGGGGAAAGAGGGGAGGAAAGGAAAGGAAAGGAGGACGAGGGAAGGGGAGGGGAGGGAAGGGAAGGAAGGAAAGGAAAGGAAGGAAGGAAAATTGTGGTGTTCTGGGTGCTCTCTGAGCTGGGGGCCTTCGTTGCAGACGTCTCATGACCCAACTAGGGAACATCATCAGGGAAGGAAGAGGGGAAGGAGGGGAGGAAAGGAGAGGAAAGGAGGAAGAGGGAAGGGGAGGGAAGGGAAGGAAAGGAAGGAAGGAAAGGAAGAAAGGAAAATTGTGGGGTTCTGGGTGCCTTCGTTGCAGACGTCTCACGACCCAACTAGGGCCTGTCATCAGTGCTAGGAAGGAGGGTGTTTGGGGTGGGATCCTTGGTGCTGTCAGGCCGGCCTCGGTTCAAACCCTAAGGAAGCACGCACACACACACACAAACACACACACACACCCCGCGGACTCTGCTGAGACAGAGGCAAAGTACTTTTACCGAGTTTGAAATGAGGGCAGAGAAAGGAAAGGAGGACCTGAGCCAAGAGGCGCAAAAAGCTAGATAAAAGTCTCCCCCGCCCCCCCCCCCCCGATCCCCGGCCCCTCCCCACACCAGCGACCCAGGCTGAATATCTAATCTATGACCCAGATGGTGTCCTGGTGGGGGGGTGGGCGCCCATCTTCTTCAGTTGTTTTCGGCCACCTGGAGTTGCGAGACGGGTTGGCCTTGGACGGCGCGTAAACAACTCCCTTCAGCCACCCCGGCGGTTCTCGAGAGCAAAACTCCCTTTTAGTTCCCATGGGCCTTTCTCACTCTTCCCGAACCCCAGGGCCATCTCGACCCCCCCTCGCCCCCCCCACCCCCACCCCCAGTCCCTGTTACTATGGCAGCCGATAACAAGCAAGCATCAAAGGGATAAAAACGCAGACTGGAGATCCGACCGACAGGGCCTCTCTGAGCTGCGCGTCTTTCTTGCAGGCGTCTCGTGACCCAACTAGGGAACATCCATCAGTGCTAGGAGGGAGGGATGCTG